GGCTCCAGTGACGGAACCGCCTGTAATTTCTTGGCTCGAGCTTTCTACGGGACGAATCCCGTAGATACAAAGCTCAAAGCCGACGCGCCCGGTTTGATCACTAAATGGGTTTTATTCAATCTCCATCCGTTACTCTCTCTCGGTTTACCGAGGATTGTAGAAGATCCTCTCCTCCATACATTTAGTCTACCACCGGCGTTAGTCAAATCTGATTACCAGAGACTCTACGAGTTTTTCTACGAATCCGCCGGTGAAATTCTCGTTGAAGCCGATAAATTGGGTATCTCACGAGAAGAAGCGACTCACAATCTTCTCTTCGCCACGTGCTTCAACACGTGGGGTGGGATGAAGATCCTTTTCCCGAATATGGTTAAACGGATCGGGCGGGCGGGTCATAAAGTCCATAATCAGTTAGCGGAGGAGATTAGATCTGTGATTAAATCCAACGGTGGAGAACTCACGATGGGAGGGATTGAGAAAATGGAGTTAACCAAATCTGTGGTTTACGAATGTCTCCGGTTTGAACCACCGGTTCCGGCGCAATACGGTAGAGCGAAGAAAGATCTGGTTATCGAAAGCCACGACGCGGCGTTTAAAGTCAAAGCCGGTGAAATGCTTTACGGTTATCAACCGTTGGCGACGAGAGATCCGAAGATTTTTGATCGAGCGGATGAGTTTGTGCCGGAGAGATTCGTCGGAGAAGAAGGAGAGAAGCTGTTGCGGCATGTGTTGTGGTCGAATGGACCGGAGACGGAGACTCCGACGGTGGGGAATAAACAATGCGCCGGTAAGGATTTCGTTGTTTTGGTGGCGAGGTTGTTTGTGATTGAGATTTTCCGGCGATATGATTCGTTTGATATTGAGGTTGCTAAGTCGCCGTTAGGAAGCTCCGTTAATTTCACGTCGTTAAGGAAAGCTAGCTTTTAGGAGCCAAGGGTAAATTTGTAATTTTATATTTCGCAATTGTGTACCATCTATTTTCGTGTACTCGTTTCGTGTGAATATATATATATAATTAGAGAGTCTTCTCTCCATCTAGGGTGTCCATATCAGCATCTATGTCATCATAATTTATTCTTTTGTGGGTTCCACTTATTTCATTTATTAAAACAAAAACAATTAAACTAAAACTAATTCACACATTAAATAAAAATAATAATTGACAAAAATTAATGAAATATTATGAAAAAACGAAAAAAATAAATATACAACTTAAAATATGAAAATTTTGAATAGAGATTGAATAAATATAAATTAGATCATTATATTTTAACACATAATGAGTAAATATTTTTAGATAGTTAGAGATACGAAAAAAAGAAACTTATCATATATTTTAATGGTACAAAATTTATTTTTTAAGAGTTACAATTATTTAGTAGAGTAAAGAAAATAAGAGTTAAAAAATACCAAATTTAAAGGTTTTTACTTAAAATAGAAAGCAATTCATTTTTTAAAATAGACATTTAAAATTTGAGTACCGATTAAAAAATAAAAAGAATTTAGAACATATTATTATTTATAATTATAATATAATATAAGTAGTTAAATTAAAATATTTTCTATATTATTAATTTTTTCTAAATTAAAAAGTGAATACCTAAAAAAGAAAAACTAAATATTAATTAGTGTTTAGAAAATTAACATAGATTGAAAAAAACTAAGGTGATTTGCAATAAAACAAAAAACTATCCTAAACATCACAAATAAAAATAAAATAATCTTATCGAATATTAAAACTGTGTAATAATAATATTTGAGAATGCTATTTGGAAATTAGAATAGTAATGGTAGATAGAAGAGTTTTTCATTAGAAATAAAAAAGATTTTGTTTTTTTTATAAAAATAAATGTATTTTTAAATTAGAATAATTTTTATGAGTTCGTAAGTGTCACATTTTAGAAAAATCAACATTAAGAATACTTTCTAGAATCATAATATACATTAAATTATAGGGGCTTTTGCAAAAATACCACTTTTTCAATGCCACTTTTCAAAAATACCCCCTTTTTAAAACCTTATAAAACCTATGTTTATGAATAGGAATGAGTCTATATATGAGATCTATTTTCTATAAAGCAATTTTAGATGCACCAAAACATGGTAAAAAAAAGCTTTATGATAAACATTTCCTCAGATTTCTGTTTTGATGTTCACTTTAATAAAAAGATCATGAAACTTAAAAAAAAAAAATTGAGTATTGAATGATATGAAGGAGAAAATAGAAATGATCTAAGGAGAAAAGAGAGTAGATGTTGAGAGACGACGAGTGAATCATAGAAGATAACGAGAAATATTGTAGTGAAAAATGTGAGAAAGTTTTTACTACTTTGGAAAGATAATTCATATGGGTAAAGTAAAATCTTTTAAAATTCAATTGATTATATTTATACTCAAAGTATAAAAGTTTAAAATTAAATTCCGCGCGTTGCGCGGGTACACCATCTAGTTTGATAAATGTTGTATATCTGTCACTCTGCTTGACTTCTTTTGTTGTTTCTTAATCATAATTAAAGTTAAAGTTGGTTTAGGAGCCGAGTGTTTTTTTTTTTTTTTTTGAGCCGAGTGTTTTTTTTTTTTTTTTACACCAAAAATTACACGAGTACTCTGAACTGATATTTAGTTTACAACATATATAAAACATACATTAACCAAATGAACAATTCTTGGGTTCACCCCTTCATTCACCTCCTTTTTAAAAACCAATCAAAATTTACCATATCATCTAATTTAAAAAAATAAAACAATTAATATTAACTAAATAAAATAATTAAATTAAATCATTAAAAACCCAAAACTAAATTAGTTGTTGGGCCACTAATATTTCCTTCACGTCTCTCTCTTTTTTTTAGCTTCCTTCATCTTTTTTTTTTTTTTTTGTCAAATATTGTTTTTCTACTTCTTTGGAAAAAGTACAAAAACAAATTTTAACCAAAATAAAGCTTTAGCACTTCCATATGTTTTCCGCCTTTATAAACAAAATGATCGAGTTTTATAATAAATCTCCGTAACTTTTATCAAATTTCTACAAAATATAAGATTTTAAATCATGAAAAATTTGACCAAAAAGTCAAATATAAATAGTAAGATTGAATTATTTACCTGTAGCATTTGTGAAGAAAATGGGATCGTCTGTAAAGTCGGATTGCTGGTAGCTACAGATAACTAGATATCGGAAACAAAAGTTGAATCCTGAAGCATTTATCGATTTTATCTTGTAATTAATATACATACATATATTGACGAAGTCACCGACAAAAAAAAAACCGACACTTAAAAATTAAGTTAACAAAAAATAGAATACAAATAAACCCATATCAAAGGAAAAGCATAAAAGGTCACGTACTAACATGTTTAGAAAAGGCAAACAATTTCTCGCTTCTATGATATTCAATAGAATTACGTGAACTTAGTAAACAAAAAAATCTTTAATTGACTTATTTCCAAACTAAGAAATTTTGATGTACATAGAATTAAGTATTTGGACTTACTTTCAAATTGTGTGAAAACAATAATCTCCTTCCTCTGATAAAACTAATCACTTTTTGATTATATGTGAGAAGAAAAAAAGAGAATAATTATGAATATAGTTAGGGTTAATGACTTCAAAATTCGAGGATTTCTTCATAATCAGAATCAAGACTTCAGATTTAGGGTTAAGTATTATTTTTACTTTTTGGATTTAAAGAGAAAGAGACGTGAAAGAAATATTAGTGGGCCCTACAACTAATTTAGTTTTGGGTTTTTAATGATTTAGATTAATTATTTTATTTAGATAATATTAGTTATTTTATTTTTTTAATTAGATGATATGACAAATTTTGATTGGTTTTTAAAGAGGGGGTGAATGAATTAGGTTCACCCCTAGAATTGTCTTTTTATAATGTGATGTTTTTTTTTACAGGTTTATTTTAATGCCCATAGACAAGTTTCTATTTTGTGCCTTTTGTGGAATATCGTTAGCTTTCTTAATGAAGATAATAAATCTTCCGAGAGATGGGGCTGAGAGAGTGATAGTTTTGGAGTTTTGCTTCTCTCTCTCTAGTTAAGTCTCTTTCCTTGTGTTGTGTGGAGCCTTTCTCTCGATGATGAGTGTCTAACAATGATATATTCTAGGAATCAATATTACAAAGAAGACTACTTATATACTTTGGAGAGAAGTATGATGGGAGTATGCGACCATATTCTAACCAACACTTCAAGAAATTCAGCATATATACCGATGTTCCACAATCACTATTAAACCAGACCCATTCGATTCTATATGCCTTCATCTAGGTCTAATGATCAGTAGTTAACATAATAATACCCTCTAGATTTATATCTCTTGATTATCATTGGTTATCTCAAGTTATTTATAAGCCCTAAAATATAACTAAAGTTTTCTCCAAAAATATTTTGGATTCAGTGCAAATACACTTTGCACTTTCCTAAAGCGGAGCATGTGTATATTTCATCTTTTTCTTTCTTTTAAACCATTCATATGATGTACTTAATACGTGCTAAAAGACATCTACACGATTTGATTGGAGATTGTTTTATACTCTATTAGTTTTAGAGAGATTTGAAGGAAATTGCTTCTTTTTTCTTAAGCAAAAATATTCTACCATCTCATAGTTACTAGTCGTAATAAAGTGAAGAGTTCATGGACGGGTGGAGATGCAACTAATTTTGGTGTCACGCTTCACTAACATCAGAAAGAAGTGTATAAGAAGATTATCATGACTTTCACGTAGACATCTTTTTCGTTCCTTCTCATCATTCTTCATTGGATTGTCAAAGTAAATCTAAAGTGATTTAAAATATTTGTAAGTTTTAGGAGTCCTATTTGAATGACCAAAGGAATACCACGGGCCGAATGGTATGGTACGATTAATCAAGAAAGATTTCTTATTTTTATTGTGTCGGACTTTTTTTTTCTTTAATAGGAATGTGAATATCATTAAATACGAAGAGATGATGTTTTGCAAAATAATATAACCTAGATATTAAATCTTGCCAAAAAAAGAAATAAAAAAACAAGAGTTACCTTAGTTTTATAAGGCGCCTATGCGCAATGAGAGGTGAGGCTCAAGGTTCATCGCCTCTAATAAACGAGGATAAGCTCTGTCACAAATGCCCTCGTTTCGGGACTCTTTGGCCTGAAGCGCACTTGACATCGCTATGCGCCTATGAAAGAAAGGTAATTACGCATAAACTTCAATATTTACTTAATTTTTATGTTTTAAAAATATTTATATGTGAATTTACTGCTAAACCCCTAAACACTTTTTGCATATAAACCTCTTCTCACGTTAAACTACTCCAACCTCTTTGTCTTTTCATCTCCTCACATGCAATAGTTTTTCTTCCCTTCTCTAATCTAAATCTAGTATCTACTCTTTATTCTCTTTATTTTTTCTTATTCATCAACTCATCATGTCTGATTCAGTTTCTACTAAAGAACTTGATCCAAACAAGAAATATTCAACTCATGTTCCTCTTAAACATGGTAGTTGAATGTGTATCTATTGTAAAAACAGTCAAAAATTGTGGAGTTCAACGTAGAAAACTGCATATTGTTGGAGGTTTTAGGAATGTTACTCAATGTTCTCTAGTTCTAGATCATGTGAAGGAAGAAGTCAAAAATTTCAAGTTTAAAAAGGCTAAAGTTAAAGTCAGTACTCAAATGATGCCACCACCAGCCCCTTTATATTATGATTATGATAATGAGGAAGAAGAATTTGAAGTTCAGCCTAGTCAAAGAGGTCAGTCATCTTTAAAGAAACGTAAAGTTTCAATGGACATATAAAGGAAGTAAAGAAAAAAAAAAAAAAATTTTGGAGTATGTGATAAGGAATTTAGGACAAAGTATGTGGTGCTATTGCAAGGTGGTTCTATGATACAAAACTTCCATTTAATACAGTTAACTTTGACAGTTTTAAAGAGGCACTCGAGTTACTTGGTCAATATAGTTCCGGCTATAAGCCACCAACTATGTATGAATT